TTTAAAAAAAACAAGCCATCTAACTTTTTTTTGGCGACCATTTAGAATTTTTTGACAATTATTTTAAAACTTAGACAGGAATTGAATGAAATTATTTCCCATTATTTACGAAGTATGGATTGTACTTTAAAATAGAAAAAGAAATTTGAAATATATTCAGTAGTTTTTTTTAGAGAATTTGAAAAAAAAGTTATTTGGCGGATCCTATACTTTAATGATCTAAGAACTCTATGAAATGAATGATGTAAGACACAAAATGAATAACAATAAACGTTAAATTTGAACATTTTATATAAGTTATGATATTTCAGAACCAAAAAGTAAAAACCACAAATTTGCGTAACCAATTTTTTAACATTTATTCCTACCAAGTAAATTATATAGTGGTCGTTGTCGATGTTAGAAATATTAGTTACTCAAATTTGAATTCATTTATTCTTTTTTGATTATTACAATTTTGTTAATCTTTGTTATAAGATTATACGATTATATTACTAAAATGATCGTTATTTGATAAAACCCAAAACATTCAAAATTATTAAGATGTTAATGTATTCAAGTATTCTTAAAAATGTCCCGAATCATGCACTCATTATTTGTGGTTAAATTCGCATTAAAATAATGTGAAAAATACTTTAAAATATATGTATATTTATATATTTTGGTAATACATAACTATAGTTAATTATAGTCCCGGAAATGTTATCACATTCTAAACGAAATTATTGAATAGCATTAAAAGACAAGTAAGTTAAATAGAAAAAGCAACATTTTGTCATGCTATTGCAGAAGCTTACCCTATCGAACCCCGAACTCTCCGCCCTTTGTAAAAAAAACAATTTGAAAATTAAATAAATTATAATGGTACTACAAACATAAACAATATAAATCGATACAGGATCAATGAAATATGTTTGTATGAAATTTTTAATGAATAAAAGCAGGAAAAAGTATGAAAATGTAAAATACTTTTTAAACGCCATTTGAATTTTAATACATGAAATGTTGAATTATTTACCATTGATCTTGAGCATCGGCACCTTCCTCGGCAACAAGAAGTTCATATTCTTCAGCCGCAAAGCGATCCCAATCAGATAGCTAAAACCGCGAAAAGTTCATGTTAAATGCAAATTGCAAAAATATATAGTAAAAATAAAAGTTTTTTTTTCAAATAATCAAAAAGTTTTTTTTTTTTTAATTCTATAGCATGAATATTATATTATGAAATCTTTCGAAAACAATACAAAATTCTATGGATTTCTTTTTAATTGCATATATTTTTGTATGACTGATTATAATGAATTTGCATACATATGATCTATCTATGATTTAAGAAGAAAATGAAAAAAGTCAGAGAAGAGTAGATGACTAATTTCAATAAAATTACCTCATCACCATCCTGTTCTCTCTGGTTCGCAAAAGGATCTCTTTGTTCATGATCTAAATATTTTTCGAGATTAAAGAATGTATCGAAGAAAATTGGTGTCATTTTACATTTTTTTAGATCCGACAAAGATATACAGCCAGGCTTAGCCGGACGTATCATATCCAGCATCTGCGTAATATAATTAAAAATAATAAAAATTAAAAGAATGACAAAAATCTAAAACTGTCGCAAAACACATTCTGCATTCAAAATACATTGGATTGCTGTTGATAAGGAGATGTGCTGATTAGTTTTTGGCATAGTTTTGGTCTAGCCGTTTCAAAGATACGGGGCAAAAAGTGCCACAAACGGTAACTCAGTTTTTAAGAGAACGGAGCGTCCGATTTTGATGATTCAGAAAACATTTTACTTGTATTGATAAAGACTGTTTAAATTTTCATCAAGGAAGGTCTAGCGGTTTCGGAGATCTAGTAAAAAAAAGTAAAAAAAAGTGATATTTGGCGGTCAAAAAAAAAAAAAGTTCAGAATTTTCAAAATATTTCAAAATAAAATAAACATTTTTTTAAAAAAATCTTTTTATCAAAAAAGTAAATTTTTGTCAAAAATTTATAGTTTCTCAAAAATCTAATTCCTTCAAATTAAAATTTTTTCGAAAATGTTGAAAAAAAATTTTTTTTTGGAACGGGAAGTTCCAGCAATTTGCCTTAAGGCACGATGCCATGCGCCCCACTAGTTTTTTTATTGGCTGTCGAAAACCGCTTGACTAAAAGTTTAACCAATTCTTCATTCATCAATACAAGTGAAATGTTTTTTGAATCATTAAACAAGTGATCTCTCAAAAAACGAAAGTTTGCCCTTTTTCACTTTTTGCCTTGTATCTTTGAAGCAGCTGCGCATGGATTTTTCAAAAACAAAGGAGCACGACTCCACATCAATATGAATCGAATTTTGTAAATTTTTAAATTTTGAAATCGTGCTCTTAAAATCGTAGACGAGAATTGTACGAAATATACACATACACACATAAATACATTTTTTATAATTTACGTTAAAATGTTGAGATGGCTTTGAAACGTAAAAATAAATAAAAAATTTCATTTTCATTTTCTTGCGATTACTATAACATATTCTGCACCAAATTAACAATTAATCAAAATGAAACACCAACTAGTTGTTATTTTTATTTTGTAATTGTGTAAATAATCGACTTATTCAATAAAAAATAAATAAATTTATTAGTGATTAAAAGTATTCCGAGTGGATTTATTACACATAATTGAAAAGGAACGAACACGTTAACTCGGAGTATTTTCTAAAAGCAAATTTTCACAAATTTTGATAATTGAACCAGTTTCCGTAGGATTTTAATGGTTTAGTTGGTTCATTAAGATTAAGTACTCTTAATCACCAAGTAAATCGTCTGATTTTAATTCTAACTAACATCAAAAAAACTACTCATTTTCTCAAACTTTGACGAATTTTTAAAATTAAACTACTTGTAACGCCGTAATATTTCAGTAAAGTCTATAAGACCATGATATATATCTCCAAAAAAGTTCCACAAAAATTGACAAACTTTTTTTCAACAGTTAATTACAAGAAAACGGCTCGGTAGATTTTCACCTAAAACTAATCAGTATCATTCCCAACCAATATCTTTCGAACAGTTTTTGATATTTCAAAATCGCTCCGGTAGTGTGAGTTTAAATGTGGACGAAAAGTTTAACACTTTTTTTCAAATTACAAAGAAACGACTCGGCGAATCGCCTCACAAAACTGACAAACAATAGTCCTCATTGAGATACATCAAATTTTAATTTAAATTTCTTAAAATTCGTTTTTGAGAAAACGTCGATAAACGATCTAATTTTGACAAATGCCAAAAAAACGATACATATTTTTGCAAACTTTGAATAATTATTAAAATTAAACGACTTGTCGTAGGGCCGTGATATTTTAGTATGATCTACAAGACTATGGTATCTACGGTCAAAAAAAAAACATAAAAATTGTCAAAAAAAAAAAATTTAATACTTTTTTACAAAAAAAACGGCCCGGACGATCTTAACCAAAAACTAATCAGGTCGATTCCCAACCCAGAATTGCAGGCAAAAACGTGGATGATAAATTTTTCACTTTTCTGCGATTTACAAAGAATCGGTTTGGCCGATCGTAGCGCAAAACTGACAAACGATAGTCCTCATCAAAATACATCGAATAGCTTTTAAATTATTGTAATCGGTCCAGCCGTTTTTGAGAAAACGTCGATTTACGGCAAAAAATCTGTTCACCCACATACACATATACTTTTTCCAAAATAGATCTCATTCAATTCAGAGTAGCTTGAAACGTCGAGAAAACATAAAATTAGCGAATAGGATTTTTTGATGGAAACAAACTTCTCCTTCGCAGAGTTAAAAATTGTATTCAAATATGCATCGCATACAAATGTTTTCACTTCCTGAAGGTTTGGTTTATGTTTTACCGTTATCGATTAATCGTTGGAATCCGACATGCTAATTTTCTTTTCTCGACTGTTCAAGACAATCTGAATCGCTGGAGACTAAAATGGGAAAAGTATTTGCGTATGTGTATGTTGCCGTAATTTGACCTTTCGCCTTCCGTAATTTAACCTTTCGTTCTCCCGAATTTAAAAGCCATTCAATGCAACTCGAATAGAACTCGCGTGGATTAGACATGCAAAACGAAAGGCCGGCCGAACCGTTCTTTTATAATTAATAGAAAAGTGCAAAATTCCTGATTCTACAAATAAACAAATATCCTGAACTGAACTGAAAGTTATTAGTTTTTAGCCGGGCCGTTTTTTAGCAGTATTTTAAATAAGAATTTCTTGTGTTTCAATTGAACTTAATATGGCGATAGTGCTCTTGGGTTAAAGAACAAAATAAAATAAGAGACCAACAAAAAGTGGTTAAATTATAAAAAAAATAATAAAAAAAGTCCAAACATTATAATGGCAACAGCGCGTATGTGCCATATAATTAATACAATTATAGATATTATAATAGAGATATTATATGTTTAATTTTCAGATTACAATTGTAAGTAGCGTTGATTAGTATTTAGTGAAGGCAAAATAATATTTTCGAAATAAACTGTTGAAAATTTGAAAGTCGATTATTTACGTGTCGAAAAGTGCATGCAACTTATACAGTATTCTAAAATGGTAAGAAGCATTTGAACCGCCAAGCTATCAAAATCTTACCTGACACAAACAGTCTTCGAACGGCAACGTTTCGATACCGATTGATTCCATACGATGTGTCTGTTCATCATAAAAGTATTCTAGTTCGTACATGGACAAAATACCATCTCCATCTAAATCCATGCAACGGAACCAATATTCAATAGCAGTAGGATGAGTTTTGTCTTCTTCTGCTAGAAGGAACCAAACAAACTCTGTGTAACTCATTCGTGCTTGAGGGCCAGTAGAACCACGCGTCACGCAACCGCTGAATATTCGTTCTATCATCCTTGATGAGAGTGCTAAAAATAATATGCATATTGAATAATAGATTTTATTGATAATACACAATGGACATCTTTTACCAACAACGAAATTAAACAGTAAGAAAAATAAATCAATAGTGCTGAAAAAAATACAGACAGTATTTTCGCAATATTAAATATAAGAAATTAAAGAAATGAGTTTGTTCAAAATACAATGGTCATAATCAAACGCAATTCAATAATTAACAGATGCTTCAGGCAGGCATATAAGAAAGCTTGCGATACATATCGAAGAAATCATCTCATGCAAGTAGCTAAAATTTATATTTGGAATCCAATATAACTAGTAAGAGTAAGATAAATATATTTTTCTATCGCAAAAAATAGCACAAAAACTTTATTATATTTATTACCAAATATCCTTATGTGTGTTTCATTATACATACCATGGTCATTATGTCTTGCAAGATCTTGTTTATCAATATAAAGATCATGATCTCGATCAAGTTCCCAAAATTTGCAGTATATAACGTAAAAATGTTCATAACTGAAATATGCAGTTATTTGATTGATATCTTCCTCTTCTTCCAACAACTGAACAATCTGGTATTAAATTAAATTATTAAATTATTAAATCTAAATAACTATGCTTAAAACAAAAAAAAATACCGAAAGAAATACGTAGGTTAGCATATTGCATGATGTTGATGGCCGGTTACACCAGAAATATATTTTACTTTGTTAACTGTCCATATGGTAATAATATTATATGGTAGTCTGCCCGAAGGCAAGTCAATGGTATGAGAGCCACCATAAATCAATGATTTCCTTTCCCTTTCATCTATCTATTTCTTTCCCTTTCGTCTATCATTCCCATTACCACTATTCTCCCTTTTTTACACATTGTTTTACCTTTTAGTTTTTCTATTTTACCAAGTGTTGGAGGCACTCTTTTTGCAGAAAGGGTTCGATCCAATTTCTTTTTCTTTTCAAGATTGTTTTTCGTAGGGTAAGTTATAGTGCATATCTTTAAGATTCAAAGCCTTCTGAACATTTTTGCATACTTTAGAAAAAATAGATGCATGTCATGTGTATGTATATATATATATATGTGTGAGTGCTAGTGTATGCGGATTACAGTTTTTGGTCGACGATTTCGAGAACAGGAATAAACCGATTTCAATTATTCAAAAAACATTCGATTCCTATTAATGGGGCGTGTTTATTAGTTTTTGATAAAGGCAGGTTTAACCGCTTCGAAAATACGGGGCAAAAAGTGCCAAAAATGGTAATTCAGTATTTGAGAGAATGGAGCGGCCGGTTTGAATGATACAAAAAATATTTTATTTGTATTGGCAAAATGAAGAATTGAATGAATTTTAGCAAAGGCGGAGATGCGATAAAAAAAAGTAAACCAAAAGGCAGTTTAGCGGTCAAAAATAATCATTAATCATATGCACATCAAATAATTAGATATTTTGTAGAGATTTTAATAATGAGCTCAAAATTTTGGTTACATTTCTTTGGATTCCGTTTGTATGTTTATCCGTTAGACTGCAAAGCTAGTTACATAGAGCTATTGCTATAAAAAAAAAATCAAGCCTTAAGGCACGATGCACCACTGGTTTTTTATATAAATACGGTGGCGTTTTCAACTAGTATACCATTAACCCTGGTTCTACCATACCTAAAGTATAGAATTTGAAGAGATTTAATAATGCTACTGATGCCGTAATTAATTAAAAATTGGTAGTGGTTATGAATAAAAGTTAGTTTCAGAAATTCCAGCTTTTTAATTTAAATATTTCAGATTAAAATAAAGAATAAGAGTGCGCGTAAGGTTGACACGCGACTGAAGTAAAACTTATTTGCTATTGTACCAGATGGCATTTAAGATAAAAATAAATAAATACATCATATAACAATTTTGAATAATGTTCATCAGTAATATGGTAACACTCGTGATGCACACATTTTTTAATGTCAACCATCATACATATTTATATAATAATAAATTATAAATTTATAATAGCATTAAAAATATATATAATATTTGAAAACAATAATGCAATCAAAGTCATTTCAAATACGACATGATCGGTTTGTCATTGGAATTAGCACCTAGGACTTGAACCTTTATTAGAGAAATGAAGTAATGATTAATAAATTCTATAATATTCGTTCACGCAGTGAATAATTTCATGAACACTAGCAATAAATAAACTGCATAGATGTCCATAATAAAGTATATCTGTATATAAATGATACACAGCTACACAAACTATTGTTGTGCTTGATCTCTTGTTTATAGTAATAAATCTGAATATTATCCTTCATTATTTATAAAAATATGCAATACTTAATAGCCATCATAAACGAAAAACATGTAGACTTCCTCTAAACTTCCAAAAGTGTTTGAAATATAATTCTGAAAAAGATATATCCTCGGCATGTTAAAATTAGAATGAAGCAAGTACTGCTTTAATACTTTGTAATATCTATAAAAATGCAGAGAATTATTATGTCAAATAACGTCTAAATAAATATTGTTTTCACAACTTTACTTGTCATACAAACTACTTCAATAAACTTACGTTTCTTACACGGCACAGATTTTTCATTTGTTTTATTATTTGCACTACAATTATTTATGGGGGACCGAATAAAATATTCTTCCGATCCAGACATTTTTTATTAACTCAAAATTTGTACTAATATTCAACCTTAAAATGTAATGACATGAAACACGAAAAATGAACAATATGCTTCACGCTTTCAGTGACGTACGCACGTTTCCTTATTTATGTACGTTCGTATGAAGTAACGCATATAAAGAAGCCTCGCAGAACGCATACAAAGAAAAAAATAAGAAGAATCTACCGTATGGAAGTGATCTCATTGAGAGCGAATGATCATTGGCACTTGACCTTGCCGTAACTCACTTCCGTTGCATTTGTACGGATTTACACCCATGTCGCGCCTAAAGAAGTTTTACTTTAAAGGAAAAAAACGAATATTTACCTGCAAAAAATCAGATCTTCTCAACTCAGGTACACTGATTCTACCAGACCAAGATCTGTTGACTGTGTAAAATACTCGGGCAATAACTGTATGAACGTATCTTGAATGGAATTCTCTGGCTGATCTTAAGAAAGCTAAACCAGGATGTCTCTCAACCACGTCCTGTACTAATGGCACTAGATCGTCAGCTCTCAAATAGCGCCTAGAGGGATCGCCTTTAGTGCATATGAAGATAAAGCGAGAAGCAGCATCATGGCAATTTGCCACCATTCTACAAAACGATAATATATAAATACTATCGAATTAACAGTATGTTATAAAGAAGAAGACTTTTATGGTCAATGATAATATGATGATAATAATATGCTATGAATTTGCTCTATATTAATATAATTATATAATTATAATTATATAATAATATTTCAGAATACTTACTTTTTCCAGAAGTCAATAAATTTATGACCATCCACATGACCACTGGGACTAGAAGGAGTTGTTGAATAAAGAGGCGCTTTCCAGTACATTGGCAAGCCACAAGCAGTTACTACATGATGGAAACTATCTCGTGGTACCTAAACAAGATAGCTACTGATGAATCAAATCATTTATTATATTCATTTGTAACACACTTTCCGCCAAGTAATTTTTCATATATAACCAAACACAAATGAATGAAGTAGACAATAAAATAAGTACTAAGATTATATTTTATTCATTGACAGTACTAGTTTCGACACTAGATATGTGTCATCTTTCAGGTATAAATAAAAAAATGTAAATAATGATAAAATACTCATATATATATATATATATATATATATATATATATATATATATATACTAGATGACCCGGCAGACGTTGTCCCGTACCCACATCTACGTTTTTTTAATATCCTATACTAATATTTATACCGTTCAGTTAAAAATAATAATAATTGTTTTTCGAATTACTATTTACACCAATCTATGAGTGATGTTTCAAATAAAATGATTATTCTCAATTCCCACAGTTAACGCTTTAATTATCTTTAACAAATATTAAAATATGTTCAATAAAATTGTATATTAAAAATTATACACGGCAATTTATAGAACAAGGGTTATCCAATATTTTTAGTCATACCTATAGATATGGATGTATAAATGAATGATTTTTTGTTTATTCACGACGAAAACATTGATTTTCCAAATTTATCACAAAAAAATCATCGTCTGCCTTAGTGATGTATTTATTGTCATATTGTCAAGATATACGTGTTGAAAATTTAAATCTTTTAAAAAGTATATCAAATTCAAAAATAATTAATATATAGCATGCGCGGTAAAGGTACAATAACACCTTTTATTTTTCTACCCTATTCTTTCTATGTAATTGTTTCAATAATGTTGCCTATAATTTTTATAATTTCGTACCATATTTTAACTGGCTTTTAGTATTTTTAATATCTAAATTACATTTTTTTCACTAATAATTCAATATACATTATGGACAGTTGCGTACTCTTGAACAATCATAACTCTATCAATATTTGTGCAACAGAAAAATAATAAAAAGCAATAATTAGAAAAAGACCTTGAATTTTCATATATATACTTTTATACGTATTCTTTCAGAGATATTATAATGAGAAATTGGTTGTTTTTTTTAATGTTTTTTTTCATGAAATCATGAGTTTTTTGAAAATCGTTTGTACTAAAGTTGTGGTATTTTCTAGAATCCATCAAGATCTCTTAAACCAAGTTAATTCTAGATGGAATACGATTATTTTTAATTTTGGTGGAAATGGCGCTCATAAACTTTTTGATTTGAACGAAAAAAACATTGTATGCGTCTTTTATTTGCATGATAGCTCACTCATTTTACACGCAGAAGTACTCATTTAAAAGCTTATTTTGAGCACTGTAAAAATCCATTTTTATATCTAGCTTAATATTGTTCCTAAAACATTATTAAATAGCGATTTATTAAGATTTTAATTGATATAGTTTTGTTCATTACACGATTTTTATTAAAATGTGTATTTTTGAAGATATTAGCAAAAAAACGGTGAAAAACGCAAAAAAGAAACAAATTTTCAGTAGCCAGTAACTTGAAAAGTATTTACTTCTTTGAAAAACATTAAACATTTTAGTCTTATAATTAGTTCTTTTATCGATACTCGACGTTATTCTGAAATAAGTAAAATTACACCACTGAAAAGAAATGTCATCCCCCGGGAAGTGGCAAATGAGTCTAAATTATTTTCACTTTTGAACTTCAGAGTAAGATGATCCTAATTCCACAACTTCATACGAATTGGAAAACAGTAAAAAAAAATTCAGACCCGAACCGCTCCATTGACTTGAGTAAATATTCCGTATCCAATGGCAAACATGAATTTTTGACACAACGAAACTTCTAAATAATTTTTTGAATACGTATTTTTTTGTATTGTAACTTAGTAAAGTATGGCAAAACGACTGCATCAGTTAAAAAATAATAATCTGTCAAATTGAATATGTTGAGCGCAATCACTGACAGCCCGCTGACAACCATGCAACTGACAACCATGTTATATTATTTGCATCTTATATTATTTTATTTTTTGGCTCATCTCAACTGCTTTTCGGTAATAATAATGTAGACATTGCAGTTTCCTCATTCATAATCATGAATTTATTATATTTTAATATTGTCTTAGCCTATAAGTGAATGTAAAAGAGCACATATTGACCTCCTAATATTATGTGTTCTTCGCTCGGAATGCATAGTAACACAAATCAATTCAAGGTTACGAGGCACATACGGTAGAGTGAGTGTATGCGGGGTGCAAGAAATAAAAGAGGAATGAGAAACAGAGGAAGAAATTTAACGAACAAAAATTTAAGAACTTTGTAAAAAATTACTTTTCATCAAATTTATTATGACTTTGTAACTGTGATGTATAAGATGAGAGGAATTCCGTTTGTTGACACAATAAGTATTACGACATAACGTAATTCAAATACGACATTATTATACAATGTTTTGAAGTAAAAAAAACGTTCTGGCGGTGATAGGCATAACTTCTTGGAGATTCATCTAGAATCAATCGAATAAAAAAATAGTTTTATAAATAGATAATCCCGGGCCTGATCGAAGCTTTTCTTTTCTTTTTTTTGCAAAAATTAACAAAACGGCGGCATCATAAAAAGAAAATCTAAATTTGTGAAAAAAATCAACAGTTAATTGGTCTTAAAAAATTTAAATTAAAAAAATAATAAAAACCTTTCGATCAAGCCCGAGTTTATTATGTATTCTAAAAGCTGTATAAATTTCATTAAAATAAGCGGTTTTAATGTAAATAAGCGGTTTTTGAGTTACAGTTGTCACCAGTTCAAAAAACATAGTTTTGAGAAAAACGCGTTTAAAGTTTCAAATTGGATTTCCGTACAGGTATACAAATAATTGCATTACATAAACCAAGTCATCTATTTCTGCGCCATATAATAGTTCATCAGTCATTGTGAAAGTTTCCAAAATTTTCATTTGCTGTTGCCTACGAAGCATTCTGGCTTCCCGGGTGTTCTCATTGGCGCGCTGATAAGCCACTTTCACACGTGCAGCATTCAATTTTTCAGCATACCATTGAGAATTATACCCACAATTAGGTCCCAGGGTATCCATAATCAATAATAATGATTATGTATTGTATGCAGCAATTTTAACGATAGTAAAACTAGTATTTACGGTTTTAGGCATTTTTTTCATACTAGTTGGTTGAAGCTCTCTTGGTCTGAAAGTTCCAGGGTATCCATAATCAATAATAATGATTATGTATTGTATGCAGCAATTTGAACGATAGTAAAACTAGTATTTACGGTTTTTGGGCATATTTTTCATACTAGTTGGTTGAAGCTCTCTTTTTTCTGATTATGGATTCAATCTTAAACTACACATCTTGAAAGTAAATTATAATTGCTGAGATCATCGTGAATCGGTTTAATAGCTTTTGAAACATCAAGAGGCAAGGGAGAATAATGTTGAGTATAAGTATCGAACTCTCCACTTGCTTCAGCGCGCTGGTAAGAGTCCAATAACTCAAAAAGTAATCATCGGATCAACTTGAAATTTCAAGAGAATATTTTCAAGATATTGCACTTAACGAAAATGCAAAAAAAACAAAAATTGATTTTTCAAAAATTTCCCTAACCCCTTAAGAGATATAAGTAACGACACAACTAACTTTCTACGGTCACAGTTTTTTTTTCGATATACAAGATGGTAAGATTGGACATTTTGAAGACGAACAGAAGAAGAACATAGTTTTGAATTGATTTGGTTTTCTAGAATTATATACATGTTGATTAACACTCTTTTGTATATATTGAAAACTTTCTCCAATATAACAACTACTGCAATCATTGCAGTCCAACTTGTGAACCGAATCACTAACCCTATCCGCAGGAGTTTTTGATTTAAGAGCAGAAAAAGGCAACTGAACGTGTTGTCAAAACTGAAAACTAAGAAAAAACCTTCAGAAGCGAATAACTTTTTTAAAAAATAAGAAAAATTGCTTAAAAAAGGTGAACAAATAACATCTTTATATTTATCTAGAGAGGAAGAATTTGATTTTGAACTAGTTGGTATTAGTATTTTGCCTTGAGGTAAGTTACATGAACTTCCCGGTATGTGTAAATAATCGACTGAATCAATAAAATATAAATTAATTTATTAGTGATTAAAAGTATTCCGAGTGGATTTATCACACATCATTGAAAATGAACAAACACTCTATCGTTATACCAATTAAATCGTTTAATTTTAATTTTAACAAACGTCAAAAAACTACTCATTTTCTCAAACTCTGATTAATTTTTAAAATTAAACTACTTGTCGTAACGCCGTAATATTTCAGTAAGTTCTATAAAACCATGATATATATCGACAAAAAAAAATTCCATGAAAAGCGTCTTAAAATTTTTTTCCAACAGTTAATTACAAGAAAACGGCTCGGTAGGTTTTCACCTAAAGCTAATCAGTATCATTCCTAACTAATATCTTTCGAATAGTTTTTGATTTTTTAAAATCGATTCGGTAGTATGAGCTTAAATGTGGATGAAAAGTTTTTTCCAAATTACAAAAAAACGGCTTGGCAGATGGTCGCGCAAAACAGACAACGATAGTTCTCATCGAGATACATCAAATGGCTTTTAAATTTCTGAAATCGGTTCAGGCGTTTTATGCAAACGTCGATGAAATATATAATTTTTACCGTCAAAAAAATAATAATAAAAATCGTAGAAATTGTTTCTTTAACACTTTATTACAAGAGAACGGCCCGGCCAAAAACTAATCAGGTCGATTCCCAACCAATATCGTTCGAAGGCTTTCGAAATTGATGCAGAATTGGACAAACAAATTTTCACTTTTCTGCTATTTACAAAGAAATGGCTTGGCTAATTGTCGCGCAAAATTGATAAACGCTAGTCCTCATCGAGATCACCAAAAGCCTGTAAAGCAAGATCCCAAGGAATATTGGTAAACAGGAAAATGACATCAAAATTGGCAAAAGAAAAGATGGTAGGGATTTCAGAATTGTTTAAAATTATA